GAAAATAATCTCTTATAGTAAATACATAAGGCCCACTGGTTGCATAAAACTACAGTTTGGGTTAGACCTTCTGTAAATAACTGGCCCTATATGTTTACAATGGGGTTTAAAGGGTTGATATTTATCTTTTCTTTATGGGACATTTTCTTGACCAGGAATAATTGTTTATTTGTGATTTTCAGGTGTGGGTGAGAAAAGGAGATGGATCAAAAACAAAGTTGTACATAGGACAATTACAGAAAGGAAAATACAGGATAAAAAAGTCATGAAAAATAATTGATTAAGTGCTACATTTTGATTTACGTTGTATAGAATCTGTTAGATTTCAGTCTATTTTGAGGCAGTTTGTATCAGGACTCCATGATACTTGTTGTATGTGTAATATAGTTGGTGCATATCATATGACACTTTGACATCATGGCATGTTGCTGTGACAACAGTGATGTCTTGAGGATGGCAATTTTCAAATCCATCAAACTGTCATGAGAAATTCAGCATGTTAACTTGCTCATGCACAACTGGAAGCAATGAAAGTTGACCAATGTATCCTGACCCATGGGAGGAGAAAGCACAAAACCTAAGGCCCAAAAAAGAGAGCTGCAGAGAGTGAGAAGAGAAAACTGATGTATAAGAATTAAGATAAACAGGATGAAAGATATCAAGGTCAGGAAAGGTTGGCCAGAGAGGGAAGTCTTTTAGTAATAAGCAATAAGTGAATCACATAGAAAACTGTCAGCTACACAATGTAAATAAGCTCCCATACTCAAACATTCAGACTCTCAGATGTGTGTGAGAAACAAGATTTCTGTGTTGGTTGTCCCTTGGCCAGAGAAACACATTAAAATTTGTTTTCTAGATGTACTATTATCATTATGCTGTAGTTCTTTTTCTAATGGAATGTTAAAGTTTAGTCTGGCTGATAACAGAAAGAAAACTGGCTCTTGTGCGGTGTATGTTTGTGTTAACTCTCTGACTCCCTGAAGTGATTAATGTGAAACTTCT